TTTGGCTTAACTACAAAAGCACTGAAATTGTGTTGCTTTCAAACCTCAAAATTCTAACAAAGCCAATTTTAATGCTCAAACAATCCAAGTTTATCTCTCACGTTTAACAATTTCATTCCAGAATCCTATAAGGATGCGTGGTTATATGCGTTTTTATGATCATTTTTCCCAACAAGCAATTTCAACACAACAAAATATTTATGTTCTCATAACTTCCTTTTATCTTCTTGCAAACAGTTTGAAATATTCAAGAAAATAATGCACTTTTCGGTTGGTTATTGCGGATAACGTAATTTTGTCTGAATGCATTTCTGAAAACTTTTCTCTAAGAAACTTTCTCTAAGTTGGTTGTAAACAGAGTTTTATGTATTTGATTATTTGTCTCAAAAATAATTCACATATGCCAACATAATATTTTTATCTAGGTAATAAATAAAACCAGGACAATGAAAATATTCTCATAAAAGCCATAATTTTTAAATACATTCTTACTAAATTAAATTTTCAAATAAACAATTACTTTAAATAATTTCATATAAATTTTGAAAGACATATGTTACTATATTAAAAAGACAAAAGAACATAGTTTCGTTTTTTTGTGCCAAAAGTAACGCGTCATATCCCAAAAACAAACTATTTCAAAGTTAACAGCGTTCGAGTAGAAATGAAAAGATAACAACAGAACTTTATAGTTAAATTATTGAAAATTTTCTCCGACACCAATTTAATCTAAGTGTTTGGCATAACTTATCCCTTGGTAATGAGCGAGGTCTACCAACACCTCTGTTGATCTTTGAGTCACAGCACCCGATGTGAATACGCAGCTCCACGCCAAATGAAGTAAAAAACAATCATTCTTTCCGCGCAAGTTTGGGTTTAACACCAGCCACCACGACACTGCCAACCTCATTTAGTCACGGCAGCCGAAGCTGCAGACACTGACCCCGTGGTACCAAATATACACCTCCCGACCGGAGGTGTCGCAGGAGAATCGCTGTCGCTCTTATTTACACTCCAAACAGTGTCGTAATGGTACCTTGATTTTAGCCGCTTCTTACAGCAGGCATGCTTTAACTCGAGAATATTCTAACCCCTTCAGTGAAGGGGTGGCAAGTTAAAGACAGTCGCCTATGGAAAATTAGGAACTAATAGGAGGATATACTACACATAGGTTCTCAAAAAATAATCTACTTATCAACTGAGCATGTTCCTTTCAAAAGTTAGATTTTTATACCGGATATGTGCTAACGAAATGAAGCTATTTGTATAGAAAACAGCCAAACAATGTTTTTATTATACTGTTCGCACTGTAACGCTTGTTTCCGAGAAGCTTTCATAAATTTCAGCAGCCCATTATAACTGTTTATCCACTGAAATTTTTAAGAACGCCAAGCTAACACAGTTGTATTATTAATGAATAAACATACCTATGCAAAAGAATCACACTGTTGAAAAAGAATCACAAAATTAAAAAAATTTGCATCGTATGATATTATTATTATTATATTTATTACACCGCGTTAAATTGAGATAACATATCCCAGGTATTATGTATCCTCGGGGAGATCTCAGGTATGCAGAAGTCAATTATTGCTTAATCTGATGAAGTGATAAACAATAATCAAGTCAAGGTGTAGAGAAGGGTTTTGAAGAAATCTCGAGTTAAAAAAAAGTATAGTGGCTTAAGTGCACTAGCTCAAAACAGCTTCAACATAATATGTATCCAATAAATCAATATATTTTTCAGGAACGTAGTCTAAACTATTACAGCTTTTAGTTTTTTGTGCACTCGTTTATCAATTTATAATCGGTACTACAAGTGTTTAAAATGACTTAATTTTGCTTTTTTTATAGCTAATACGCAACTTTAAGGTTTTTTACATTGACTTAAGTTAAATTCTTGGATACTAGGTACAGTATCAGAAGTAACAATCAACTTTACACGTATAACTGGGCAATTATACATTACCTTCAATTTCATTGTTAAAATTGCATAAATCGATATCTTCACAGTGCAAGTTGATTGCAGATTCTAATTAAGCGTAAAATTCTCTTCTGTATGAAGTAGAGTTGGTTGCACTTTAAAACAATGACACCAATTAGTCGAACTTTGAAATACAGACGTCAACTGTGTTTAATTGATGCAAGTGCATGTAGCTGAAATCACTACATGCAAATATGATATCCTTAATCCATATTGCCATCATTTACCTTTAGCGATATTTTGACAATGCATTTTTAAAAGTTTCTTATTCCTATCATCTAGCTTTACATTACTATTACAAAATCCTCAGTTAAGAAGAAGTTACCGTGTGCAAACCATACATTTCAGTTTCCTCACCCTATATGATTCACATAAAATTCGTGTTAATGTATTTTGTGAATAAGTTTTGATTTTCTTGAGGATATTTGTAACTCAATGCTTCAAATAATTGATGAATTATGCAAGGTAATTGAATTGAGATTTATTGGTGTTAGTGTATCATTAACTAATGCATTAGCTATAACCTAAGTAGAGTAATTAATGAGGAAATCCTAACAAAGATTCCAGATTTGATTTAAAGTCTTGCTCCTAGCAACACTAAGTATATGAATTTGACATTTCTGTTTAAAAGTTTGATATTTTGTAATATAAATGGCATTACAAATTTTAGTTTAAGCGTTTTTATTGTATTATTTACATAGATTTCAAATTATGTCTCTCCTAAAAAATGAACTTTTTCGTGTAATAATTTTTTACAATTTTGCAATCAATGCAAATATTAATTAATCATCATGGAGCATACTTCAAAAATAATAAAACCATTTGCACCAATAAACCACT